TAACTGGCTCCTTACCAACATTTTTTGAGTGTTCATTTCAAAGCTTTCAAATCTCCTGTCCTGTCAACATGACCTCACCTGATCACTCAGCAAAAGTCAGCATTGCCTGCTTGGTAAAAAGAAAAGTTCTTCCACTTCAAACTGACCTTATAGGGTGGGAGGCAACTGTAGGTTTACAGTTGTTCATATGAAAAATAATACAATAAAGAATAAAGAATAATACAAGAATAAACTGTTTCGCTGAATCACAACTGTAAACCTACGTTTGCCCCACCCCGTGTGTGTTCTTTACTTTGCATTCACCTCAGAAGAGAGGCTTCATCTTATTTCAAAAACATCCTAGTTTAGTGGAAATAAACTTGACTTGTTTTGTCACACATCTGCCACTATCAAGCTCTATAACTATGGGCAAGGCAATGAACTTACCTGGTCCTTAATTGTTTTTATCTGTAAAATTATTATCTTGGACTTGGGGAATAGAAAAGACACTTTCAGTACTAAATCAAGCTTTTCCTCATCTTATATCCAATCTTAGACTTTCCTACCCCTCTAGAACCTTCCCTTTCACTCAGCCCATATATATATATATATAAATGAGGCATAAGATATTTTGTCTAGGAATCTCCTCTTATCAGCATGATGCTTCTCACCCTTAGACAAGGTTAGGACTTCATGTTTAAAAAGCCTTTATTGCTATTATCACCTGAGTTAATATTTTCACTATTTCTCAATCAAACTTGTTCAGGGTGCAGATAATACTATGAAGACTACTTTTTACTGACTGTCTCTGTTCACACCTTCCAATTTGGCCTCTGCTTTTAGCACTTTATCAAAATAGTTGCTGCAAAGGTCAAATGATTTTTCCTCACTGCTTATCCTATTTGAGTTATCTTTGACATAAAACACTATGGTTTTGAAACACCATCTTGAAACTTCTCATTTTCCCTGACCCCGGTCTTGTGGTTTTCTTTCTAAGGCTCTGGTCACCTGTTCTCTTTTCTCTTTTTATTTTCAATTTTCAATCCTCAACCCAGGTCCTAAATGTGGGTATTCACCAGAGATCTATCTTGGTCGCAATTCTAAATTTTTCCCATTGAAATTTTCATTCATTCTCAGGATGCCAACTGTTACACTGATGTGGATTACAAAACTATTTTTCACTGAGCTCCTCGCCAGTATGCTGGACATCTCTACATGTATCTCTCGCCAATTTGAAGTTACACTGAATATGCAATTCATCACTATATCCCAATACCCACCTAGAGAAAAATGCAGACTCCCTATGTTCCCATAGTCTCTCTTCCTGTTAATGACATAATTATCTCTCCAGTGACTAGAACTGACATGCCTGGAAGAAGAGAAGCCATCAATATCAGGGACTGCATTGTCCTCTGAAAACACAGGTTAATAGAGCTAGTTCTTCATGACAATTGTCTCAATGCTCTTGAAAAAATTATGCTCTTCTTATACAGTGGGGCCTTGACTTACGAGTTTAATTCGTTCCGAGACCGAGCTCCTTAAGGAGCTCGTTAACTCAAATTACTCTGTCAACTCAATACAAAAAATCGGTGGACAGCTGGTATCTCAAAAAGCTCGTTAGTTGGGACACTCATAAGTCAAGGCCCCATTGTAGTGACAGGCAGCGCAGACCCCTTGATTGTCCGGTTACAGACTGAGGATCTATTTCTCTAAGATGCTTCTTTCCATTGATCT